CACGGTTTCTTCTAAGTGAGTAGAAGAAACCACAGTTGAGGAAATGCCTCCAGAAGACTGGCCTTCAAGGCTGTGGGACATTTTCTTACTTAGTTACTAATGTGGGGAAGGGTGTCACATCGGGGCAAGTGGTCCTGGATGCAGGCTGAGCAAGTCATGGAGAACAAGCCAGGAAGCAGTGTCTCCCCATAGCCTCTGCTTCAGCTCCTGCTTTCCGGTTCCCGTCCTGCTAGAATTCCTGTCCTGACTTCCTCAGTGTTGGGCCTGAATTACAATCTGAGAGCTGCAAACTGAAACAAACGCTTTCCTCCCCAAGTTGCTTTTGGTTGTGGTATTTTGTCACAGCAACAGAAGCCCTAAGACAACGCCCTATCTCAAAAAGAAAGGGAGGAAAGGGTTGTTTTTTTTTAAAGGCAGTATTTTTAAAAACCCTCAACAGCAATTATGTTAGGTTCATAATTGAATGAATATGGTGCTCTGAGAACCTTAGCGCTACAAATGTGTAATTGTGTAAAATGAAAATACACTATATAGTTTAATCACACAAAAATAATTACTCCATGCCAAAGATCTCAGTCACTTAATGCAATTGGGAAAGCCCTTCCAGGTCACCGGATTCCCAAGAAGTTCAGGCTACCTGACGCCAAACGGGAACTCCCAGTGCTTGAGATGGCAACTGAGGGAGGGACAACGGTGCTTGCGCGTAGTCTCAGGCCTAACTTGATGGGCACAGAGGCAGTGGAGGAAAGCAAACACAGCCTCGCGGAAGCTGGCTGAGACAGCACGTCAGCACCATGTGTGGCTGAGTGATGATGACCTCTCTTTTTCTAAATACTTCTATCACTGTTTTCTGTGAGTGCGTGTGTGTGTGTGTGTGTGTGTGTGTGTGTGTGTCAGAAGACAGTTTGAACAGTCTTTCCTTCCACAATGTGGGTTCCAGGGATTAAACTCCTTTTGGTGGCAAGTGCCACCAAGCCATCTGCTAGCCCCAACATTGATTTTTCTCTAACCTGGGGGTTGATGCCCCTCAGTGAACCCGAGGTGAGCAATTAGGAGTGGCCAGTACAAGCCCAGGCATATACTAGTAGCTTGGTAAAATGTGTGTAAATAAGGAAACCGATCAACAAGTCTTAACACAGCACAAGCCACCCGTCCAGCCCTACAACAGAAACATGAGTGAAGACTGAGGAGGACAAGGGCCTTGTCTCAGAGAGCCACAGAGGTCAGCCAGAGGGATAGGCATGTCTCCTCACGCTCACGCAATCCCGGGTTTGGAGGTACAGTGGGGGGAGGGGGATCCTATCCTCATCCTCCCTTCTCAGGATGCCCAAGCTCATGAATTACTCTTGCCCTTTCTTGGCCTGAGCCATGCACATGTTCTACCCTGAGACACCTACTGGAGAGCTGCCCCTTGCTCGTGGGCTTCTAGCTCCTCAGGCCTTGTGGAGGCTGGTGGTTCTGTACAGTGGCCCTTCAGTTCCAGAATCCAGAAAACAGGTTTTAGCCCAGGTGAAAACAACTTGGGGGCCCCTAAGGGCAGTCCACCTACTTTACACAGGATTTAACTGCTATACAAATATCAGTGACTGGCCAATCCCTGCCTCTACCTCCTCATTGTCCCTGTTCACAGACCTCCCCTAAATCCTATCCCTGTCTCCTGAAAGCACTGGGTACCCTCAGGAGCCAGCCTCTCTGGGACGAAGATTCTATGGCAGGAACACTGGGTGCTCACAAACCTACAGGCTGGCCTGAACTGTAGGTGGGCCAGACCTGCCTGGACATATGCCCAGCCTGTGTCCAGATGCCAAGATGCACTGCTCCTGCACAGAATTTCCTACCTGGATTTGCCAGGCAGATGAGTGAGCATGCAACCAAGCCTCAGCTTCCCTCAGTTCTCTGAGTTCTCTGCTTTCTCAATTACTGATACCAGCCAGACACGTCAAGATGTTAGCCATGAGCCTGTGGTCCGGACTGGTCCTCAGAACATACCCCAAGCTCCTCTCAGGCAGCATAAATGCTCATGCCCCAGCACCTTGAGCCCTCTGAACATAAAGTTTGCCCTCTTGCTCCTCCCTGGAGCTTTCCTTACCATGAAATTCCAGGAGAGACAAAATGCTGCCATTTTGTGGCTGGCTGAGGTGCTTGGAGTATGTGTACTCTTGGGGTTTTGTTAAATCTCTGCTCCTTGGGTGACTCTGGGAAAATCAGCAGGTGGCCTCAGACACACCTCCAAAGGTAAGGAGGCAGAAACTAGCTGGTGTCCAGTGACACAAGACCTACTATTGAGATGACCAGTGACTCTCTCTCTTGTGAATTTCACAAGTATTCCCAAGTCCCTTGCAGCTGAATCCATGTCTCAAGCTAAGACGGGGGATGCAGCTACTAAAACACATCCCTTTCCAATGCCCTCTGCCCTGGGGGACCCAGGGACCCACGGGTATGCTGGTGCAAGAAACCTTCGGCCTTCTGAGGAAAATGTGGAGAACAAAGGGTCTAAGGTAGCTTCCAGCAAGCTGGAGGGACACAGGGGCAGGGCCCCCGCTGTGTGCCCCAAAGGCTAGCCCAGTCTGAAGGTCCCGGGGAGTGAGTAAGCACGGCTAAGAAAAGGGAGAGTTTCCTTTAGGAGGGATTAGTCAACCCCATTCCTTTCAACAACACTCCCTACTATGCAAGTAACGAGTAACACACAAAAGTTACACTTATACGGGGTTGTAAGTGGTGACTTTTCCCAGAGGCAGGGTCAGTTTACTTCACTAAGACTAAAGTTTGCTTCACTCACATCCAAGTCGGGCACCACCATGGCCCAACTAACAATTAATTGTATTTTTAATTATGCGCACGGGGCGAAGGTACCTGTGTTCGGGTAACGGCAGAGGCTGGAGGTTTTGGATCCCCTGGAACTGGAGTTACTGATCTGCCCTACGTAGGTTCTGGGAACTCAGCTTGGGCCCCCTGCAACACCATCTCTCCAAGTCCCACCTCCTCCATCTAAAAAATGTTTCATTGTGTATTTATTTGGGGAAATAGGGTCTCACTATGTATGTAGCCCTGACTGGCCTGCCTCACCAGCGCTGGGGTTAAAGGCGTGCGTCACCACGCCCAGCTTCAAGTCACTCTGATGGTAGAAACGGTCCTATCTCTCACTATTTCAAGGATTCCTTGGATGAAAAATCTTTCAAGTAACTGAGACAGCCTCACCCTAGCCCCTCAGCCTGGCCCAGATAGCTCCCCTCCCAAGCATGGTTGATGGGATTGCTATCCCTTTCCTTGTAGCTTTGGCCAGGGATAGAGTGGAGGAAGTAGCTTCATTCCACCCGAGCAGCTTCAGGTCCCAGGACCAACTCCAGTACCCACAGAACTCTGATGACCTCGAGTTCCTCTGGGACCCTTTCCCTAGAGCGTCCTGGCTGGACACCCATGCAGCAACCAGACTGTTGGAAGAAACTACAGTTGCTGAGACACAGATGCCGGGCACTCCAAACCCTGCGCTCCATGCAAAGTCACTGTCTTGTAACTCAGAGGCTGACAGTGGAGAAGCTGTGCTCTGCCCCCGTGAAGGAAGGGGGGTGAACACCTACTCTCAATAGCTTGCCTAAACTGTAAGCTCTGGCTAGTCTTCCCAGGAGAGCCTTGTGCTGAGTTTGAGGGTCTGGTAGGGAACCCTTTAGAGGGGAGCCACTCTCCATGGGAGGTGCCCTACCTGTGTTCAGTCAACAGCAGGTGGTGAGCACAGGCCGCCAGCACCTCTCTGACAACAGCCTGGAGGCTGGCCTGTGAGGGTCCAGGGCCTGTATTGACCCAGTGGGAAGACCACTGTGAAGGGAGCTGTCCCGAGAACCAGCTGGACCTACTGGCTTGAGGACCCCCGAAAGCCAGGGGGCAGTGCCTCCCTCATGGTTCAGGGAGGAGCCCTGAGTCCATGCCTTCCTTATGCCACTTTACCCTAACAGCCTCATCCCTCAGGAAATGATTTTTCAGCTCTCTGTAGGGAGAGCTACACTCAATAATGATAAGGAAGCATGTTGTAATTACATTGTAGGCCTCTACTCAAACTGTAGACACCCCAGTAAGAGCAGGTCACGACTTCTCAGAGACATTTTTCTCCAAATTGCACATGCTTGATTGAATGGAACAGGTTCCATTCTAGCTACTGGCTAAACTGAGCTGGATTCAGAGCCTGTGTCTGCTAGCTCACACGTGTGTGAGGGAAGTGCGCCACCGTAGCACGCGGCCTACGGGAGGGCAAGACTCAGGGACTATGTTCAACTTAAGGGAGGTGGGAGAAGCAGCTGGGCTTGTGATTAGCAGCTTTCCCAGGTGGACCCAAGTCGCTCAGCAATTCTGAATTGGTTGTTTAGTTTATGATACTACTTAACTTAAAAAATATTATACTTACACACAAACATATATGAACCTATAAAGCCAGGCAGCGGTCACACACCTTTAATCCCAGCACTTGGAAGGGAGAGGCAGATGGATCTCTCTGAGTTTGAGGCCAGCCTGGTGTACAGAGCATCCAGGACAGCCAAGGCTACACAGAGAAACCCTGTCCTGAAAAAAGAAATTATTTTTATGTGCATGAGTGTTTTGTTTGCATGGACATCTGTGTACCACAAACCTGCCTCAAGCCCAAGAAAGCCGGAAGAGGGCTTTGAATGCTCTGGGAACGGTTGTTACAAAAGGTTGTGAGCTGCCATGTGGGTGCTGAGAACTGAACCTGGGCCCTCTTAACCATTTGAGGTGGAGTTGCATGTAGCCCAGGCTGGAACTCACTATGTAGCAGAGGATGATCTTAAACTACTAATACATTTTTATTTTGTGTGCATGGGGTGGAGGTGGGGCTGTCACGTGACGATCGGAGTACAACTTGTAGAAGCTGGTTCTCTCCTTCCACCATGCAGGTCCTGGGACTCAAACTCAGGTTATCAGGTGAAGATCCTTTGGGGGAGTGGTTAACACTCCTAAGCCAGCCTCATCCCTTCCCCGCCATTGGTGCTTACCAGGGAGGAAGGGGATGATCCTTTGCTTGGGATCCTTCTGGCCGCCTTCGATAGGAAACTTATCCAGAAGCTGCATCTGGGGAGACAGACAGACAGACAGACAGGCTTGAGAACACCGAGTGGAATCAGCATCCCACCACTGCCCCACTGTGCTCACACGGATGAGCGACGCCTGAAATCCCTCATTTCACAGCCCATTAACAAACCACATGGGGCTTGAGAGGGAGAAGGCCAGAGCTCTCCAGGCATCAAAGGGGTGTCTGATCCATCTCAGGAAGGGGGAGGGGCCTAGAGACACTTGGGAGTGAGGCTGGGCCAGAGACCAGCAGGCCTGTAGGCCACACTGGGGTTTCCAGATGCTCCTTTGGGCTCAGTCCCTTCCTACATCATCTGTCTGTTGAGTGAATCCTTCAGCCGCCAGCACATCCCGAACCTTCCTGGGCCAGGCCCCACCTGACACTTCAGACAGACCACCCACCTTCCAGAAACACTCTGCAAAACCAGCAGCAGATGTTATTTTAATCACAAAACCAAACCTATCACATTGTCCTCATGGCTGGGACCCCTTCCTCTGCTTCTTTCTTCCCACCCTGAGCTCACTACTGTTTTTCCAGGGATGAACCCTCTGGAATCGTTTCCAGAAACCTGCAGGAACAGCTGTTTCTCTTTTTGCTATTCTGGGCTGAAATTCTGTGTGAACTGGAAAAACACAGGAGAAGCAGGATGGACAAGGCCAGGGTCCCTGTGTGCAGTTGATGCTGAGTGGCTGCAGCCAGGATGTCTGCTGGGTGTCCCAGCTATGACCTTGAGCAAGGCAAGGAGCCCTCCTCAGGCACCTCCTCAGCAGGATGAGGATCTGTCCCAAGTACCTAACATCAATTCAATTCCCCTTCTCCCCAAATCTGCTGATCCTGGACTACAGGCACTGTACATTAAAGAGAAAAGTCCTTGCCCTCAGGATGTTTACATTCTGGTGGAGGAAGACAAACAATAAAAAAACTGGACTTATGTCAGGGAAGGTGAGTATTATAAAGAAGAATGAAGCCAGTTGAACTAGCTTAAGCAAGATGAAGGGTCTTTTGTATGGGGTGCTGAGGAAGATGTCACCAATTCAAAGGCAAAGGCCTTCAGGACATGAGGAAGCAAGGCACTATGGGTAAGACCCCGTGTTCCAGAAAAGGAATTGGAAGTGCAAATCACTGGAGAAAAGCCAGTCTGGTTGGCATGGCATGAGTCAAGGCAGAGGGACAGGCAATGAGGTGAGAGGTGAGCAGCATTATGGTAACTGTGAAGACACAGGTGTACCCCAAGGCACTAAAGGGTTTTATGAAGAGGGGGGACATGAGCTGACTGTCCTTTGAGAAGATGGATCAGCTAGAGTGAAGTCAGTGAGCCACAAGGTAGAAATGGCTGGGGCCAGGCGTCAGCGTGGAAGGTCATGAAAAGAGGCCCGACACTGCATGCGTGTGCGTATTCATCTCTCACCCGCTAATGCACGGTTTTAGAGCTATCTCTTACATATCATTACTCAATCTCCATAGGGCACTTAGAACCCACATGAAAAGGGTTAGGTGGATTCCATTCAGAACAAGATTGTACCATAATCAACTTTCACTTCCCCAAATAGATACTTAGCAAAAGCTGGCTCATGAGTTTTAATGTTCAGACTTCAACTCTCGAGCATTTAATAATTCCTTGTTGCTACATTTAAACACAACTGTTTGGGTATAACATTATAAACTTGTATTTGGGAGTTTTGTAATACGTTTTGAAATAAATGCCACAGGCTAGAACCCTTACTTTCCTCACCCATATTCTATTTCTGTACTACATAAGTAATCCTCGCTCAGTTGAGGAGAAACTAGACATTACAAAAGCAATCGGGTGTGAGGGTCTGAGGTGGAGGAAGCTAGATGTGGCGGCGCACACTTGTAATCTCAGCACTTGGGAGGCCGAGGATCAAGAGTCTGAGGCCAGCGTGGGCTGTATAATGACCAATCTTGCTATGGAACAGGACTGTGTCTTGGGAGAACACAAATAAACAAACAAAAATGTTTAAATGTTTAAAGGAAAAAGACTCACTTACACCCAGCTCCCCTAAAAGCCACACTAGTGCTAGGAGGCAGCTCACACCTCTCTAAGGGCGATTCTATGTGTGTAACTAAAGTGACCTCGTCATCCTCTCGGGCCACACAAAAGTTGAACATTTTCCCATTTAAATGAACATTTCCATATTAGCAGAGTAGTGTCAGAGCCTTGCCCATGCTAAGCCAGTGCTTTACCCCTGAGCGATATCCCCCAGCCTCACATCAATATCAACATGCCTTTTTCAAAACACGGTCTCACTATGCAACCTAGGCTGTCCACCCAGCCAAGCACTACCGTGCACCACCGTGCCTGGCCGGAATTAGGACATAGAATTTCAGTATCCGCACAGCCCACAGTTCATTTAGGCATCGCCCTGGCTGCTGACCCTTCGTGCTGTTTCTGGCTTGTCACTGCCATAGTAAACATCTTCGTACCACGTGTGTCTCCATGGTTCCTTAGTAACAACATAAGTTCTAGTTTCTCTTCCAGCTCTGCCACTCACACCTTCTTGACTCCAACGTTGTCTGTTGGACCCCAGCACTAACTGTGCACAGGGAAGAGGGGCCGGGGAGGGACGAAAGATGTTCACGCATTTATTCCTTTCCTCCAGAAACACGGTGCCTTCTAGATGGCAGGCCCTCTGCTACGGTCGAGGAAGAAGTCAAACGGCAACCCTGGCACCGCGGAGCTCTCATGGTGGGGTTTCACAGCCTTCGGCAGGTGTAGAGGCAAGTGTGAACAACAAGCGCGCAGCTCCGGTTCAGAGCGCCTGGCAGGAGCTCAGGTCCCTCCATTCTCCAGCTGCTTACAGCAGCGAGGCTGTACAGCACTGCCCGCAGGGAACTCTGTCCGCACGTGACACCAGCCCGGGGAAGACAGGCTGTACAAGGTAAACATATGCTGGACAAGGAGTATAAAAGAGAAAAGAGGGAGAGGAACAAGAGGACGGGGAGAGAAGGAAGTGGGCGGAGGAAGAGAAGAGGTGTCCCACCAAGAATCATGTATCGGGGCTGGAGAGACGGCTCTGCAGCGCTCCTTCAGAGGACCCAGCTCACAGACACGTGTGTAACTCTAGTTCCAGGGGATCCAGAGCTTTCTTGTGGCCTCCTCGGCCAGTGTACACATGTGATATGCAGATACATATTTGGGCAAAACACCCATACACATAAAATTTTTAAATGGGGAAAAATTCAGTATTGATTGTACATTGAGAATATTACAGGACAAATAAATAATTTACTTATGTAATTTTTAAAGATTCATTCACCCATTATTTATACCGTATTCTGCCTGCATGTGAGCCAGCAAGCCAGAAGAGGGCACCAGATCCCATTATAGATGGTTATCAGCCACCATGTGGCTGCTGGACATTGAACTCAGGACCTTTGGAAGAGCAGCCAGTGCTCTTAACCTCTGAGCCATCTCCCCTGCCCCCAATTTACTTCTATTTTATTTATCTTTAAGTGGGTGAGTAAGCAAGCAGGTGTGTGTGTGTGTGTGTGTGTGTGTGTGTGTGTGTGTGTGTGTGTG